AACAATCTCCTTAAACCTCTCCCATGCTTCAAAAATAGTTCCAGTATCTTTCTGGCAGAAGTTATGGATTTTTATTCTAAACTTTCCTGTTTTAGCTGAGGAGATATATTTATCAAGGAATTTCCTGGTCATCTCCTCCCACGTTCTAATCAAACCTACAGGTAAGCTTCGAAGCCACTGTTTTGCATCGTCTTTGAGTGTGAAGGGGAATGCCCTCAAGTACACTGCATCTCGTGACACACCATTGTATTGAAAGGTGTTCATAATCTCCTCGAAGTCCATTAGATGTATGTTTGGATCTTCAGTTGGCTTCCCTCTGAAGACATAACAATTCTGAAGGGTTTGAAGCAACCCTTGCTTCAACTCGAAATTGTTTGCTGCAATTGGTGGTGGTCTAACACTTGATAATACTTGATTGTAGATCGGTCGAGCATAATCGCTAAGTGGTCTTCCAGGTAAGGGTTGATGTTGATTAAGTCTGAGACCCCTCTCTTCTTCATAGAGGTTCCGCGCATCTCTAATAGCTGCTTCCTCAGCATCCCGTGCAACTTGTTCTCTTTGTTGGCCTACTTCTCTCGCAGCCAAATCTACATTATCTTCACCGTTTCCAGCCATAAGTTCTTTGGTTGAGAAATGCCCAACCTTTTCTGTTGTCTCGATGAGATTTCTTTCCTTCTTCAGCTGTCGCAGTTGTTTTTCAATCTCTGACTCGTATGATAGCACTTCCTTCGTAGAAGTTCTAGTCATGCACCACTCTAAACCTGTAACCTGCGCACAGTCAAAGAACACCAACTATAAAAAGGGAAAAATAAAATTAAATAAAAAGAAAAATTCTTGAATTAGAACTACAAACTATTTCAAACACTATTGATTGCCAATCCCCAGCAACGGCGCCAAAATTTGACGAGCTCGAATCACACACTTCAATTATGCTCGCTAGTCAAAGATAGTATAGTATAATATCGTATCCACAGGGATTGGAATTAAACAGTATCTTCGTAGTTTCTAGCTTGATTGCTAATCAGGAGAATCAATAATTGAAGTTTATATGATTTCTAACTAAGATTAACTAAAAATCTAAAGCTATTGACTAATGACAATTACAACAAAGTTAAGCAAGGAAGTTATCAGTGGGAGAAAATAGGGGTTGATAGGATAGGTACAAGATAATTATTTGGGATCTAACTCTAGATAATTCACTTCTAATATGTTAAGTGAGTCTCTCGAATTCACTCAATTATAGCGAAGGAGGAGCCGCAGATGCAGCTAAGGAGTATTTGGGCAGAGGACGCAGGTGTGATGGAATTCCTGCACCTGCGATAGTCGCAAAAGCGGATTTAGGGGCGCATGTGCGAGTTTAGACCTCAAGTACGATGTAGTTCCCGCACCCGCGAACAACACAGATGCGGTCACTTGATCCCAAGAGTAGAGACACTGTTTAGGGATTTTTCTGCGGACGCGGAAATGAAGCCGCAGGTGCGAGAAGTCTGGGCAGAACCTATAAATAGAACACTTCGAGATTTTTCACCATTTTCATCATTTCTTAGCTCGGATTTTGGGGATTTTGAGAGAGATTTCGGAGTAATCACTGAGGTAAGTTCCTTGTGCCTATTTATCTTAAATAATGGTGTTTCCTCATTGATTTTACAACTAGTTGGTGAGTGTCTCAGGTGAGATTTGGGAGATTAGGGCTTGGTAATTAGAGAGTGAATTTTGGGGTTTTGGAGGGGCAATTGAGGTCGGAATTTGATAAATTTGGTATGGTTATACTCGTGAGTGAATGGGCTTTCGGGTTTTGTGACTTTCGCCAGCTTTTGAGACGGGGGCCCAGGGGCCGGGTTGAGCCGATTTCGGATTTTGGACTATATTTTAGTAGTTTTGTTGTGGAATTGATCCTTTTAGCCAATATTGATTATCTCGTACTATTTGTGGCTAGATTCGGGGCATTTGGAGGCCGATTCGAGAGGCAAAGGCATTTTGGAGTAGGTTCTCTGCGCGGTTGAGGTAAGTAACAGTCTTAAATCTGGTTTTGAGGGTATGAAACCCTGAGAATTGGTATGATGTGAATATTTGGAGGTGACGCACATGCTAGGTGACGGGTGTGCGAGCGTACACCGTGAGGGATTGTGACTTGGTCCGTCCTGTGAGACTGTAAAGTTGAATAACCATTGTTATTACTTGTTTTTCCTTGTCTTTGAGCAATTGACTGCCTTTCATGATAGAAACCATGCTTTGGCCATATGATATCACTTTTGGGACCCGCATCGGTCGTGTACTTGTTGAATTGACTGTTAATTGATGTCTTGTACTCAGTCACAGTCTTACTTGTGTGTTATATCTCCATTCCCTCTCATTTCTTGTTGATACTTGTTGTATTCTCTGCTGGGCTAATAATTTTGACATTCTGTGAGCCCGAGGGGCTGGAGAGGTAAGTGACTGAGATAGGGCCTGAGTGGCGAGCTGTGAACTGTGAGGTATATGGATCGGGTTGCATGCCGTAACAAGCCTTCGGGTTGCACACCGCAATAATATTGGATCGGGTTGCACGCCGCAATAATATTGGATCGGGTTGCACGCTGGAACAATATTGGATCGGGTTACGCGCCGCAGCAATATAGTTCTTAGGCTGAATGAGCTCCTGCAGAGTCTGTACACCTCCAGTGAGCGCAGGTACCTGTTGAGAGTATGTATTGAGGGCTGAGAGCCGAGATTATGAGCTGTTGAGATGAGTTGAGTGACTACTGCCTTGAGAGGCTGTACTTGCATTTATTTATTGTTGCACTTAGTTGTTATCTGTTGTTGTTGTGAAATTTCTTGAAGATTCATATCTGTTTTACTTGAGCTCGAACTGATTTGACTTATACCACCGGATTTGAAAGCATTTTCACTATTTACTGAAAACATTTAAAACGATCTGTATTTTTATAGTTCGTCATGGCTTCTCAGTTCCTTATTTAATTTTGTTACTTGCTGAGTTGGTTGTACTCATGCTACATGCTGCACTTCATCTACAGATCCAGGTGTGTACGGTTCTGGCGGTCGCTGAGTACGTGCGCGAGCTGATTATCAGAGACTTATGAGGTAGTTTCCGGCATCTGCAGTCCTTTTTTCTCCTTTCTTATTATCTTTTCTCTCTTATATTGGCATTTGGCATAGACTGTAGTAGACTCTATTTTCTAGATTGGTTGTTAGATGCTCATGACTTAGTAACACCCCGATGTCGGGCTATCATTCTGCACTTGTATTTTGGGTTTTTACCCCGTTATTATGTAAACCTTCAGTTAGTTTAATTGCTTTAGCTCACTACTATTATATATTGGAAGCATAATGAGAATGTCGGCTTGCCTAGTTCCACGATAGGCGCCATCACGACTGGTTAGGTATTTGGGTTGTGTCAAGTTGGTTCATTAGGCCTATTGAGCCCTTGGTTAATCGGAGAGGTGGCTTGCAAGCTTGCCTTGCCGCCGTCCTATGTTTTGGATTTTAGAACGGTTCAGTTGGATGGTGGTATGACTTATGATGTGGAGTCGATGGCCATTTTCGAGCGGCAGGTTCGGAAGTTGAGGTAAAATGAAATAGCTTCAGTGAAGGTGCAGTGGAGAGGTCAGCCTGTGGAGGAGGCCACTTGGGAGACGAGCAGAAGATGCGAAGTAGATATCCACACCTATTTTAGACTCCATGTATGTTTCTAGACTCGTTCGAGGATGAACGTTTGTTTAAGAGGGGGAGGATGTAACGACCCGGCCGGTCGTTTCGAGAGTTATAGCCCTGTTTCCTCCATTTCTACTTCTTTTGTGCTTTACAACTGTATTATGTCCTACCGGGTTGGTTGCTTCGGGTATGGAGTGGTTTTGGAGTGAATTGAGACACTTAGTCTTTTAATTGGAAGCTTAAGTTGGAAAAGTCGACAGGATGATGATTTATGGAAAAACGACCTAGGATTTGAATTTTTATGGTTTTGTTAGCTCCGTTAGGTAATTTTTGACTTAGGAGTGCATCCGGAAAGTGATTTGGAGGTCCGTAATAGAATTAGGATTGAATTGGCGAAAGTTAGAATTTTCGCGATTTTGGCCAGCAGTGAAAATTTTGATATCGGGTTCGGATTGGATTTCTGGATGTTGGAATAGGTTCGTGGTGTCATTTTTGACTTGTGTGTAAATTTGAGGTCAATCGGACGTGGTTTGGTAGGTTTCGACATCGTTTGTGGAATTTGAAAGGTTAGAAGTTCTTTAGGCTTGAATCCAGGTGTAATTGGTGTTTTGATGTTGTCTTAAGTGATTCGAAGGTTCGACTAAGTTCGCATGGGGTTATATGACTTGTTGGTATGATTGGTTGAGGAACCGGAGGCCTCAGGCTAATTTTGGGTGGTTGACGGCTTGATGAGAGTTGAGAAATTGCAGCTGAAGCTGCTGTTACTGGTGTAACTGCACCTGCGGAGTGGGAACCACAGGTGTGAGCCCACAGAAGTGAAGGAGGAGCCGCAAATGCGGCTAAGGAGGATCTGGACGTATGTTATAACTGCTCGGTAATCCCTGAGAAGGGTGCGTATTTCAAAAAGTGCATTATGTTTTGATGTCATTGGTATTGCCGTACTCACTTGGTTGATAGACTACTGATATTTAAATTATTGCTATGTGGAACGGAAGAATTATGGAAATATTCCGAGTGGGATGGTCGTGCATTAAGAATGTGATAGTCATTCGGGCGGTGGAGATTGGATCAGAAATGGTGATTCGTGTGTTCTAGGGATTTGAAGACTGGGAGTTTTCAGGAGCATATTATTTCATGGTTGTGGACTGTGAAGTAGTGGCCGAAGCCAACTAGATGATAGTATGAATTATGATTTCAGTTGCTGTGGATTTTTGGAGGGTTATTTATCTATTTATGGGTAACCAGAGCTGATTTGGGGGTCCATCGGTAGGCCCAATTAGGATGTGTATTCTACACCGAGTCAGATTGGTTGGCTCCACACTGCTAATGATCAATTATGGGTCATAAAGATGAAGGCCTATTTACAATCTTTTGATCTATGGAAAGAAGTTGAAGAAGATGGCAAAGTACCACCATTGCCGGCCAATCCAACTTTGGCGCAAATCAAGAATTACAATGAGGGAAATGTCAAAAAGTTTAAAGCAATAAATGCTTTGAATTCCACTATTTCGGAAAATATTTTAACAAAACTTATGGCAAGTGAAACTCCAAAGGAAATATGGGATTTTCTACAAAACGAATACTTGGGCAATGATCAATCAAGATTGAAGCAAGTTTTAAATCTTAAAAGAGAATTTGAGATTCAAAAGATGAGAGAATTTGAATGGATTAAAGATTATGTCGATAGACTCACAACAATTTCCAATAAAATTAGACTATTTGGTGAAAAGTTTTCAGATAGTAGAATTGTTGAAAAAGTTCTTGTGAGTTTGCCTGAGAAATTTGAATCTAAGATTTCTTCACTTGAGGATTCTAAAGATCTCTCAAACAATTTGGTTAATGATTTAGTCAATGCTTTGCAAGTTGTTGAGCAAAGGAGGGCAATTAGAGATGAAAAAATTATTGAACAAGCTTTTGTTGCGAAGATACCAAGCGAATCAACCGGAAAAGTAAAATCTCCACCCTGTGGCATCTGCAAGAAAAACAACCATGCTGAGAAGGATTATTGGTTTAAAGGTAAACTCAAGTGTTTTAACTGTAAAAGGCCTGGACATAAGCAAAAAGTTGCAAGCTTAAAGAGTTGCAAGCAAATATGGTACAAGAGGAAGAAGCTCTTTTCTAAAAGTTGGAGAGAAGTTTAAAAAAAAGGAACAAAAAGAAAGAAAAAATTAGATGTTGGTGACAAAGTGCATGAATGAGAGTTGAAGACAAGTGCTTCAACAAAATTGGATGTTGGTGACAAAGTCCATCAATAAGGATTGGAAACATATGCTTCAACAAAAGTAGAAGATCGGAGAGAAGTGCTCCAAGAAAAGTCATATACAACTTTGAATAATGGGAGAATATTGGAAACTAATTCAAAGTTATAGTAGGAAACCTTAATTGTTTAGGATTTGATATATGCTAGTTTATTTTATTCATGTCCAAATATGATTTGTAGTCAAATTAATGTAGGAGTAGGTTTTCGTGTTTCTAGTTGAAATAAGTTTCTAACTATTATAAATAAGGGTATTGATAGCTTATTTTATGTATCGAGATTTGTGAGTGTAACGACCCGACCGGTTGTTTTGAGCTCTAGTGCATCATACATCGGTTTGAGACCCTGAGCAGCTTCACTTCAGGAATTATGACTTGTACGCGTGGTCGGAATTTAATTTTGGGAAGTTCGGAGTTGATTTGGAAGAAAAATCCTAATTTCGGAAGCATTAAATTGGAAGAATTGACTGAGGTTTAATTTTTGAGTAAACGACCTCAGAATCGGGATTGGAGGTTCCAACATGATCGTATGATGATTTTGGAATTAGGCGTATGTTCAGATCGAGTTTTGGATGACCCGGGAGCGTTTCAGTGCCTATTGTGAAGGTTGACATTTTGGAAAAGTTTCATAAATTTGAGTTGAAGTGCATTTCAATGATATCGATGTCCGTTTGAGATTCCGACTCTGGGAATAGCTCCGTATGATGATTCTGGTCGTAGGAGCATGTCCGGATGTGGATTTGGGGGTCCGTATGCCATTTTGGGGTCATTTGGGCGAAAGTTGGGAATTTGGATAATTTTGAGAAGTTTGACCGGGAGAGAACTTTTTGATATCGGGGTCGGATTCCGATTTTTGAAAGTTGGAGTAGGTCTGTAATGTCAATTATTACTTGTGTGCAAAATATGAGGTTAATCGGACGTGATTTGATAGATTTCGGCATCGATCGTAGAAGTTTAAAGTTTCAGAGTTCATTAAGTTTGAATTGGAAGGTGATTCGTGTTTTTAACGTTGTTTGATGTGAATTGGAGGCTTGACTAAGTTTGTAATGTGATTTTAGACATGTTGGTATATTTGGTTAAGGTTCCGGGGGGCCTCGGGTGGGTCCCGGATGGTTAACGGAGCAAGTTTTGGACTTAGGGAATGACTGAAGTGCACCAGTTCTGGTGTAACCGCACCTGCGAGGTTAGGGCCACAGGTGCGGAGTCGCAGAAGCTGCCATGAGGGTCACATAAGCGACTTAGGCTCGGACCGTAGATGCGGTCGAGTTCCGCAGAAGCGGGACTGCACCTGCGCACGTGGAGCCACGGGAGCGAAGGCGCAGAAGTGGATGTGGGCCGCAGATGCGGAGTTGAGGAGTATGAAGGAGGACCGTAGAAGCGGTAATTTGGCCGCACCTACGGAACTGCAGAAGCGGTCAAGGGACCGCAGGTGCGAGAGGTCGCTTGGCAGATTGTTTTAAAAAGCGAGATTTGGCTCCTCTTCTCTCATTTTCCACTTGGTTGAGGTAAATTTGGAGAGCTTCAAGGAGGGATTTTCATCAAGCAACACAAGGTAAGTGATTCCCACCTATTGCAACTTAAACACTTGGATTATATATGGATTTAGACTTGAAAATCTATAGAAATTTGGGATTTTGGTAGAAAACCTAGAAGTTAATATTTTTGGATTTTGACCACAAAATTGGACATGGAATTTGGAATAAATTATATATTTGAGTTAAGGGTGTCATGGGTAAATTGTATCTTCGAACATTTTCAGAATCGGGGCACGTGGGCCCGAGGGTGATTTTTATCGACTTTTCAAGCGGAGTTAGGAATTATTGTAAACTGAATTATAATGAGTATTGGAGTATATATTTATGGGTTTACATTTATTGACTAGTTTTGGAGCGTCGGGCATCAATTTGAGTTGTTGGAAGGGCTTGGGAGCCGGTTATGGAATTTCGGACCAAGGTAAGTCTCTTTTCTAAACTTGAAAGAGGGAACTTACCCCATAGGTGAACTTAATTAATATGCGTTGTTACTTGTGGGGGCTACGTATACACGAAGTGATGAGAGTCCGTACGTAACTACTATTCTTGTTTATGTCCAGGTAGTTTTAGGTTTATACCATGTGTGTGGACATCGTTATTTGATTATATTTGTTAACTGTATCATATGGAGCTGAGTTGAGGATTTTTTAAGGATTTAAAAGCTTCGAGTCAAGGATTTATTGCGGGGACTTAGGTGAGCTGTATTCCATGTTACGAGTCCGCAGTCAGCAAAGTCTCCTTTAGATTATTAATATTTTCCTATCCAATTTGTATTCCGGACAGATGTTATATATTATTTTATATTCCTAGTTGATGCTCATGCACTTGTGACACCAGGTTTTGGGCGATTATGGGTTGTACAGTGTTAGTTTTAAAGATATTATTATTTATTTTGTAAACTTCATCTTTTACCATTAAATATTTATTTTTGGCTTGCCTGACCGCGGTGTCCTGCGCCATCATGACCTTTAATGGATTTTGGGTTGTAACAACATAGTATCAGAGCACTAGGTTCATTTATGTCTCACGAGTCATGAGCGAGTCTAGTAGAGTCTTGCGGATCGGTACGGAGATGTCTGTACTTATCTTCGAGAGGCTACATGACTGTTAGCAACACTTCCCTTCTTGATTCCTCATCGTGCGATTCGATTCCTTTGAGGCTTATGCCTTAATTCCCTTCCTATTCAGTCTTATGCGATGTGAAGTGCTTGTTATAAATTAGGAATAGAGGAATTTTAATGGTACTACAGATATGGTGCAGGATGTTTCTCCCTGCGTATTTGATTGGGCTATTGTCGTCGCCTCGTGGAAGGTCGTTCTGCTGTTACAGATCAGTGTCAGCATTATCTAAGGTTTCGAGATTTGGCATTGATTGTTATGATGATTTGTGCATTGCTATCGCACCGTGTTTGTGTAATGGTAGGATGCTTGTCTATGCGTCAAAGTAGTGAATGACTTGGAAAGGAGGTTTACTCAGTGCATCATTCAGAGATCCAGTATTTTACTTCCGGCGAAGGAAAGGCAATCGGACTATGAATGTTCAGGTTTGGATTGATGGAGTGACGAGACTTGGTATTTCGAGCATGGTAGAATTTTCATCTCTGATGTGGTGTAGTTGCCCTGGATTGAATGTGTTAAGTTCGCCGGTGTTATGGTCTTCATCAATTTGCCTTCGGGCAGGGTGGTGTGAAATAGTGTCGGGGAAGCGGCTATCAGAGATCGCAGTGTGATATGGTTTAGGACTTAATCGGTGGTCCGGGTGTTGAGGGCTCAAGGAAGATGATCTTGGTAGAGATTTATTGGTTCAAGTGCTACAGAGATAGATATTGAGTTAAGGCAACAACTGGCAGCGAAGGATGAGGAAGGACATGTGGGGGGTGTCTTGCGGTGGTTAAATTTCTAGAAGGCCATGTGTGAGAAACAAAAGTCGGGTAGTTGCTTAAAGAAGAGGGTTTGACCAAAGTGGGAGAGTGGCAGAGTAGCATATGGGTTCTGTGGTAGGATGACTATATGCTTTGGGAAAAGTTTAGAATGATTTGGAACTCATGGTGAACTGTGACTAAGTCTACGAACTTAATTTGGAATATTGGCTTCTATACGGAAAAGATTTGCATGATATGAAGAAGGATACAACATGACTTTGGATTGGAAGGTATCGTCGCATGTTTAGTTGATGTCAATGGGGAGTGAACGGGCTTGTACGACTGGTGAATGAGCACGGGCTCAAGATGGTTTAAGGATTTCATAGTAATTGTACTCGGTGCAGCGTTGTTGGAAGATGTCGGCATGGAATTTCCATAGGTGGGTTATTTCGGGTGAGCAGGTTAACTGTTGCGTGGTGTTGATGAAACTTTTATGAAGAATTTTACTGGCTATCCGGTAAGAGGTCGAATATGTAAATGTGGCTAGTGATTCAAAGCGTTCAAGAAATGGTTAACAGGAAGATTTCGAGGAATTTGGCAGGTTGATTGCGCAAGGTCATGTCAGTAAGGAAGAAGGAATCTTGGTAGGTTCTAGAGTTATAAAATGGTAGCTTCAAGCTAAGTGGGAGATCCCCACTGTCTATGATTGGATTGCATGGTTATCTACTTGTGAGGCTTCTGGTTATCGGCATGTTGGTGGGTTATTACAACTAAAGAAAGAGAACATCACTGGTGATTTGAGCCAAGGATTTGAGGAATATGTCCTATGATTGGTCTTATCGATTCATGTTCAGGCTTTGGGAAGACTCGGAGTTTATGCTTTGCGTGGATGTGATTTACAAGGAAAGTGATTCAGCCGCGTGCTTCTTTGAGAGGGTGTTCATATGCTAGCAGAGCCTTGAGGTTTGATTCTATTCGGGACCAAGTCAGAGTGGGTGACTCTCAACAACGGTCCTAGTGGATTCAAAAGTTAAAGTGTGGCGCCTAAGGATTTCGAGTCCGTAGTATGGTTAAGTTTTGAGCTGTTACAGCCGATTATAAAAGGGGCTTGTAGTGTTCTAAGTTATCTTCGGTATGCGGTGTAGCAGTGGAAGAATGGGAGAAAATAACTTTGGAATCATATGGAAATTATCAGAATAAATGTACCCGTTGAAGATAAGAATATGCGCATGAGGAAAGTATGAGATGGTTCGTGGGTTTTGGAGACAACGTGGTCTCGTAAAATAAGGTCACTCAGGATGAGTGCGGATTTGGGTTCATGATGTTTTGAATGGAGCTATCATTATTTCTAGGGCAAGTCACGAGTAAATTACAAGAAGTGGCTCGGTTGGTAATGGTTGAATTAACACGGTTATGGTAGTGGTCAGTTTCTCCAGCGTGAAGTTATACATGTAGTTTGTAGCCGTGCACTTGGGCTTGAGTGCCACCATA